GGACACTCAAGGAGCCCTGTGGTGCAATGGTTAAGCGCTTGGCTGCTAACCGAAAGGTTGGCTGTTTCCACCCACCTAGGGGCTCCGTTGGAGAAAGACCTGGTGATTTGTTTCCGTAAAGATTACAGCCTAGAAAACTCTATGGGGCAGTTCTACTCTGTCACATGGGGTCACTATGTGTCTAAATTGACTCGACAGCACGCAATAACAACAAGAAGAAGTAGAAACCCAGTATCCCTTAATTAATAACTCCCCATTCCGCCCTTTCCCCTGCTCCTGGTAACCTGTGATCTACTTTCTGTTTCTATGCATTTACCTATTCTAGATATTTCATATAAGTGGAATTATATGATATTTGTTTTTTTATATCTGGCTTATTTCACTTAGCATAATGTTTTCAAGATTCATCCATGTCATAGCATGTATCCGAACTTCATTCCTTTTTAAGGCTGAATAATACTCCATTGTGTTCATATGCCACCTTTTGTTTATCCATTCATCTGTTGATAGACACTTGGGTTGTAACTACCCTTGAGCTATAGTGAACAGTGCTGGTTCCTGCTTTCAATTCTTTTGAGTATATACCTAGGAGTGGAATTGCTGGGTCCTATGGTAATTCTATGTTTATAGTATGGGGTTTCTTCATTTGTTGTTGGCTTGAGGGAAAGACAGAGAAGAGGCATGGTCTTGCTAATAGGAACTGGGCTCTCAGAAGCTGGGTGGGGAAAGGCATGGCCCTCTGCTACGCCCAATGAGCGTGACCAAGGAAGGCTCATTCCCAAAGGGATGGCCCAGGATGGAATAAAAACAGCCCCAGAAGGGTTGGAGCAGTCCTCAAACAGTGCCCAGGCCCTGGGTGTAGAGTCATAAGAGTGACCGAGGCATATGCCTGATTCACAGGCAGGGGGAACAAGGTCCTGGGGCCAGGGAGATCATAGGCTGGTTTGGAGGCAGCACAGTCCAACGCTCGTAAGCTTATGCTTCTTTCTTTCTTCTTTAATGTGCAGTTGGAGTTTGGTAAAAACATTAAGGTAGATGATCAACCCCAAACCAACCTGTTGCCATAGAGTCGATTCCGACTCATGGTGACCTCACGTATTACAGAGGAGAACTGCGCCGTTGGGTTTTCTTAGCTGTAACCTTTACAGAGACATCTTCAGGCTTTTCTTCTGAGGTGTCTCTGGGTGGGTTTGAACTGCCAATCTTTAGGTTAGTGGTTGAGTGCGAAACATTTGCGCCACTCAGGGACCTATGGTAGATAATAGACTCTAGGAAAGGGAAGCGTTCTCTCATGGGCAGGGTCCTGCTTGAGCCAGTGAGCTGGTGTGGTGTTCCGAGAGCCGGGGGAGGGGCGGTGCCAGAGGAAGAAGAAGAGCCAAGGAGACAGGAGTTAGGGATTCTGTACTCAGCAACAGACATGTATTACCTTCCCTTTACCTGCTAACTTCAAGTGCTTTCACAGATATTATCCCCTCTACACCTCACACCCAGCCAGGAAGGTCCGCGGGGGAAAGATGACTCTCATTTTACAGGTGGGGATGTCAGGATGGCCTGGGGAGACTGCCCTTGACTGACCCCATCTTTTAAGGCAGAGCCATGTACCCCTGGTTTCCCATGTCTGAGTCTCGAAGGAGACTGTTCCTTCTCACTGCTGGCTCAGAGCCCCACCTGGTCAGCCCAGATCAATCACCTGAGGGAGACCTCTCGCAGGCCCAGACTTCTGCTCTGGGCCTGAAAGAACCTCTCTTTCCTTGAGGAACTTTACTGGAAAAAAGAACAATAACACAGCAATAGTGATGATAAACATTATCCGTGATTAGCAGACACCGATATTTACTCACTCCATCTTCACCACCACCCTGGGAGAGGGGCACTTAGAATACCCATTTTACAGATGAGGTAACTGAGGCACAGAGCCAGCTGCGTCTCAATACCTCCCTGCCCAGGGTCGGATGGTGGTTCAGACTCTAAGGGAAGGGGCTATTGGTAGGAGGAGTCTGAAGGGCCGAGATGGGTCAGATCCAGTGAGGCAGAGGGGAGTAGGGAGCGCGCTGTGCCAGCCAGGTGCCGAGGGCAAGGGCATCCCATGTACCAGTGCTCCTGCCAGGTGCAAGGCCTGTCCTGCAGGAGGGCCATGAGGGGCCCAAGTGGGCAGGTGAGGGAGCTACTCCCAACACCACAGCCTCTGGCACGCTGCCCAAGGGCTCCCAGAAGGCTGATGATCTAGAGCCACCTGGTTAAAGATGCACTTTAATCGAACAATAATATCAGGGAGTGATGAGCCACAATACATGAGCTCTTGCCAAATGAAAAATCTGAGCGGAGACTGTGGGAGGTGAGTGATGGACTGGGAGTGTGCTCCGTTACCCAAATCTACAACAGTTCTCGGGCAGGGGAGATGGCCCTGCCCGCAGCCTTGCCAAGCTAGTGAGCTGCTCTGTTCATCTTAGCTCTGCCGAGAAGCTCCCTGCAGGCTCTCACCTCACGTCGCCTACTCCCTCAGTCCAGCCCTCAAGGCTCAATGAAACTAATTTCTACAGGTGGGCGGTCCCACTGTGAGCCCCCTGCCCAGCTGGCCTGCAAAGGGCATGGGTGTCTCGATCCTGTGTCCACCTTTGCTCACGCTGCTCACCTCCACTTTGACGTCCTTTCCCTCCAGTCCAAGTCCCTGGGTGGTGCAAACAGTCAATGTGCTAGGCTGCTAAGCAAAAGATTGGGGATTCGAGTCTACCCAGAGGTGCCTCAGAAGAAAGGACTGGTGATCTACTTCTGAAAAGTCAGCCATGGAGCACAATTCTACTCTTATATACATGGGGTTGCCAAGAGTTGGATTCCTCTCTACAACAACTGCCTCCCTGGCCCAATCCAGCTCTGAACTCCCATGGCCAGAAACCCTTGTGCCCTACCCTGCAAGAAGCCTCCAGACTTGCCCCTCCTCTCTGATCTCCACCTTCTCATAATGACCCATCACTGGCAACCCACAGGGCTCACTGCCTGTTCTGCAGGTGGTCAGATCCTGAGTACTGACAATCACATGCAGCGTGCAGAAGTGGGGTCTCCCTGGTCTTGTGCCCCACATGTACACAGTACAGGGCAGGGCACTCACGAGGTGCTCTGGAAGTCTCAGGTGATGGCTCTGAATTAATTCTGTGACGGAACGGCCTCCAAAAGACCACTTTGTCCCATCTTGCCTGGTTTCTTCCCCAGGAGAGGGTGAAGAAGACTAGAGGCACAGAGTGGAGACACGTGCTTACATAACACTGAGTTCCAGTCTCCTCTGTGCTTCCTACTGGCTGTGCAGCTTGGGGTTAGTGGCCCTGCCTCTCTGAGCTGTGGCCCCCTCATCTGTAAAATGGGGATGGCATGAGCTGTCAGGTTGCTGTGAGGATGCCATGGTCCAGGTCCACTCCTAGCACAGTGTCAGGCATGTGGGCACTCTGGGAGTTGGATGGTGGTATGTGCATGGCTGCGTGTTCCTGTCTGTGGGAGCAGTGTGTTTGTGGCGTGTGAGCCTGTCTGGCCTTTGATGTGTATCTTCAGGTTGAGTGTGTGTATGGGATGACCATCACTCATCCACTGACCATCCCAGGCCTAGCACAGACCAGCTGGCCCCGGAAGAGGGGAGCAGGGCTGGCTATGTCCAGAGTGAGGCAGTGGTGTGTGTGTGTGTGTGTGTGGTGTGACCTCCAAAACCTCCTTACCACAGAGTATAAATATTTATACAGACATCTGCCATAAATATGCCCACATGGCAAACAAACGAATTGCAAAGGTAACTTTGGGGGGTTTTACAAAAGTGCTTATTGATGGGGTTGAAGAACACCGAAGGAAATGAGCTTTCAGGAGAAAGAGCCATCTGGACAGCTCTTGGACATGCAGCTGGGTTACCCCAAGGCCTGCAGGGCTGGGCCCCTCAGCCAGCTCAGGGGGCACACCCAGTGGAGCCCCCCACAGACTCAGCTGTGGCCTAGCACGGGAGGGATACACAAATCACCCAGAGACGACCGTGTACAACAAGCTTGACCCGGCAGTTTATTTAATCTTGCCACACCTCTGCAGATAGGGAAACTAAGGCACAGAACGGGCAAGTGGCTTTGGTAAGTGGTGGAGCCAGGATGCAAACTCGTGTGTGACTGTGTGTGTGTTCAGTGTGCAGCCCAGTGCCCCAGAATGCTGCCCACCGAGGCTCCGCGGAGCTAGAGGCCTGAGTTTGTGAGACAGAACAGGGGCCACAGCCAAGCTCCCCTACTCTTTCACCCTACAAACACTGTTTTTGATGACCGTCCCCCATTCCCCCCAGGCACTATGCTCTGTCCTGGGGGAAACTTACCTACTCCAGCCCCTCCCTGTGTGTCTCTTTAATTGGGTCCACAAGAACCTTATTACCTGGTAGCTAGTTCCTTTGCTTTTCCTGTCACAAATTATCCTAACGATGTGACCCAGGACAAGATGTTAATTGCAATGGAAAGTAATCAATTTCCTTTACTGAGCACAAGCTCGTGGGCAGGTGAGTCACAAGCAGAGACGGGGTTCTTAATGAGGAGGGACCTGAAACATCCATCCGGGCTGCTGCAGTGGCCTCACGCTGCCCCTTCCACCTCTGCTTCCTCCCCGAGCCCTTACCCTTTCCCCTTCAAGGACAACCCTCAAGCCAACTCTTTCAGGACCCAGCAGCCTCCCACTTCTCCGGCCCATGTCCCTCTCAGGGCCACCTACCTCTCAGGAGCTCCTATGGCTCCCTGACCCCCAATGAGTCGAGCTCAGTCCTCCTTCCTGGCATATGAAGCCTCTGTAATCTGCCCCAAGCAGTGTCACCTCCTGCAACCCAGCTGGCCACCTTGATGTCCCTGCACACACTACACCCATGCCCACTGATAGCTTTCTTCTGCAGCTCTGTGTCTGCCCCAGGTGTGTTCCCCCCTCTCCAATTCTTCTGGCAGGAGCTCAGCCTTCCTCTGGGCCTAAAGGCTTCCTTGTCTACAATGCTGGGGCTGGAGAACCCCAGGAAGGCTGTGAGAGGACTTGACTGCAATACAGGCCCTCTCTCCTGGGTAGCACAAATAGTTTGTACTTGACTACTATTTGAAAGGTTGGTGGTTGGAGTCCACCCAGTAGTGCTGTGGAAGAAAGGCCTGGCGATCTGCTTCCATAAAGATTACAGCCAAGAAAACCCTATGGAGCAGTTTTTTGTTTTGATGGCAACAGGTTTTTGTTTTGTTTTGCTGTTTCTGTTGTGCCAAAATGCATCATCCCAGGGACTTGGGGCTCTGGGCTGGAGAAAACGAGTCCCGGGGTATGGCCCTGCCTTGGTGGAAAGTGGGCAAGGAAGGCCAAGGGGGCCCCTGCAAAGAGGCCACAGTGCTTGCCTGGCTCACCTTTCGGGATGCAGGGGGAGGGCAGGCTCTTCTTCCCCAGGCTGGGGGAGTCTGGGCATATCCAAGCTCACTTCCTGTCGGACAAATCCTGATGTGGGCTCCTTGTGGGAGCTCTGCTCAAACTGAAGACAGAGCAGATAGCCCCTTATTGCTGTTGTTAGGTGCCCTCGAGTCAATTCGACTTATAGTAACCCCATGTGACAGAGTAGGGCTGCCGCACAGGTTTTTCTAAGCTGTCATCTTTACCAGAGTAGATTGCAAGGTCTTTCTCCCTCTGAGCTGCTGGGCGGGTTCAAACCAATGGCTAACAGCTGAACGCTTAACTGCTATGCCACCAGGGATCCTTCACCTCGTGGGTCCATCTGGGTTTCTATCCTGAGGGTTTGCTTTCTGTGGGAGGAAGGGTCCAGGGGAGTGGGGGAAGTGGGCACGATGGGGGCGGAGGTGAGAGGGGTAGGGGAGGTGGAGGAGGGAGGAAAGAAGGAGATAATTAAAGCAAAAAGGAGAAATAAAAGAAAGGAAAGGAGCAGGAACAGGACAAAGTGGGGAGGACTAGAGAAGGCGAGGGAGAGAAGAGGGAGACTGTGGGGAGAGGAAGAGAGGAGGAGGGGAGAAAGGAGCTGTCAGGTAAACAGGCTTCCTGGGAAGGTCCTGATGAGAAGGACGACTGAGGACAGACCTCCAGGAGCCGCCCACCCGGTTTAAGGTCCAGATGACTAGCTCAGGGTCCAGGTGGGCTCTGAAGTCATTGGAAACGAAGGGGCGGCACTGAGGAGACAGCCACGGGAGCTAATGGAGAGAATGAGAAACATACACAAACCCCACTTACAACCCGCTGCCTGGGACGGGGCTGTTGGAAAAGACAGGTGCGTTCACGCGGCTGGCTCGAGTGACTCAGGCCAAATCCTGCCTCTGGGGTCCGAGGTGTAGAGGGGTCTTCCCCCCGTCCCCCACCCCAGCCTAGTCTGAGAAGGTGCTGCCCAGCTAGGAAGGAGAATTCATTCACCCTGGGGCGGGGTGAGGGGGCAGCAGGGGTGGAGGGCTGGTGTGGTTTGAGGAGTAGGGGTTTGGGATACTGGAAGGGGGGAAGAGGGAAGAATAGGCCTGCGCACAGAGGAGAGGAAGAGGAGGAGCGGAAGGAGCTGAAAGGGCTGAGGGATAAGGGGCGATGTGGTGTTAGGGAGGAAAAGATAAGGGAGAAGAAGGAACCCAAAGGCAAGGGAGAGGGGGTTCCTGAGAGGGAGCTGGGCCTCTCCTCCGAGCACTCCCAAATAAGGGAGGCTGGGCTTCCGGAAGCCCTGCTGGGGAAGGGAAGACAGCCACACTCTTGTTCCCTCTTTAAGAAACTGAAGAGGTCAGCTCCCACTCAGCCTGTTCCCCCTTACCCAGGGGCAAAGTAGGCACGGGGTGTTGCCCCCATCAGCCCCGTGCCTGAGCCCTTCTCCTGAGAGCACCATGTGTTGGGCAGAGGCTGGGAGAGGAAGGCCCTGCTGCAATGCTCAGCCCCCTTGGGTTGAAGATGTGCGGTGTGGCCAGCAGTGGTCCTGCAGGGGCCGGGGCAGCTGGACAAGAGAAGCAGGAGCCCAGGGTGGGAGTGGGCACTGAGAGGGCTGCGGGGCTGGCCAAGGACAAATTCCCTCCACTTGACAATTTCCCCGTGAGTCCACAATTCTATTAAATAGGATAATGGATTTTAAAATGCCTCGAAAAGCAGAGTGCTCTAAGATGGGCGGCGTTATTGTTATTAACAACCGCATCCTTCTTAGTGCGCGGAGAGGGAATAAATCAGAAAACACTCGCAAAAAGCAAGTCCCTTGGAAGCATTCATTTCCGTGAAATAAACACATAGATATTATAACCTCCAAATCAAAGGGAAATAGCACTTGGGGGTAAACCATGCTTTTATTTTTTAGGGTTTTATTAAAACCCGCAAATGGTGGGAAAATAGGTCTTAGAGGATCAGCTAAGGAACAACACAGTCAGGCCTGCCCTGCCCTGACCAGAGAGGGAGCAGCTGTGGGGTGCATGGCCCTGGGGGGCAGCACAGGGGGGGTTCAGGAACACAAAACAGGCCCTTAGATGTATACCCTAGAAGGGCAGGGCCTTGTGCAACTACCCACCTCTGTCCCCCAGGGCCTGGCCCAGGGCAGGCACATAGGCAGAGCTCCATAAATATTAGTTGAATGAAGTAGTTGGGTGGAGGAATGGATGGAAGGATGGATGATGGGTTCCCTGGGACAGGGGTTGTCTTCACCCTGTTCTCTCTCTTTGGCCCTGGGGGTGGCTTTGATTGTTCCCCGACACCCCAACCGATGGCCAATGCTACTGAGGGAGTACGTGGGAGTCGAGGTGGGGTGGCCGTTCTAAAAGGGACCGTGGGTATGATTTTTTCTGTCTTACCTCATTAAGCTTAGCTTCCAATTACGTGTTAATGATGCTGGCTGCCTTTTGTAGGCTGAAGTTTACTGCAGTGTCTTTAAATTTAATCACCTCCATAATGGCCAGCTCTGGCATCACAAATAAGAGGCCATGAGAAAAAAAAATACAGTCCTTTGCTCCTGAATGAACTGGCAAGATCTGGGGTCCCAGTGAGGCCAGAAAAGTCCTTCAAAGTCCTCTCACCCTAGAGACATTGTAAGAAATTCTGAGCTCTGTCTTCTAGTGCTTCACACTGGGCTTCTTCTGCTTCCTTACTCACAACTGCATCAAGAGGGATGAGGGTCAGACTCAGGGAAGGACTTCCTACCTGTGCTGGGACATAGGCAGAGCTTGAAAGGGCTCTTCTGAGAGGGGCTATTATTGGAGATCTCCTGAGAGAGTGTCTGAGAGATCCCTGGGACCCACTCTTGGCCCTCTCCATCTTTCCCTCGGGTGCTTGGTGCATGGTGCAGGAGAGAGGCAAAGGGAAATCATGTTGCTTTCCTGCTTAGAGACCCCTCGCTCCTGGACCTATCCTCCCACTCACAAAGTTGATGAGTCTTAGGGGACCATGGGCTCAGGACCAGATCTCATGCCCACTGTTATAGATTGAATTGTGTTCCCCCGAAACCTGTTGTAAATCCTAACCCCTACCCACATGCAGGAGCCCCTGAACGGTGCAAATGGTAATGTGCTTGACTACTGTTCCACCCGGAGGAGCCTTGGAAGACAGGCCTGGTGATCTGTTTCCAAAAGATCACAGCCTTGAAAACCCTATGGAGCAGTTCTACTCTGCTCACATGGGGGCACCATGAGTTGGAATTGATTTGATGGCAGCTAACAGCAAAGACGTACCTGTGAATGTAATCCCATTTGGGTGTACACAGTGTGTCTTAAACCTAACCACTTTTGAGATGTGAAAAGAGCAGATTAGGCACAGAAGCCAGTAAGCACAAATTGGGAAACATAGATGCCATGTGGAGATCTCCAAGGAATGCCAAGAAGAATGCGAGAGAAGCTGAGACAAGGATTTTCCCCAGAGTGGACAGAGAGAGCCTTCCTCTAGAGCTGAAGCCCTGAATTCAGACTTCTAGTCTCCTAAAACTGTGAGAAAGTAAATTTGTTTGTTAAAGCCACCCATTTGTGGTTTTTCTGTTATAGCAGCACTAGATAACTGAGACACGCCAATCTTCCATTGCGCCATATTGAGCTGTAGCCAGAACTTTAGGTTCCTTGAAGCTTGTGACTGTTGCCTCCATCCTCCTTGGCCCTCTTCCCACCTCCCATCCTGTCCTATATTTGAGTTGAACCCAAGGGGCTGGCCCTCCCAAAACTATTGTGGTTTTGGAGATGCAGAAAGATGCTTCCCTGCCCTTACCTCCCTCTCCGACCAGCTGCTCAGCTGCCTGTAATACCACCATCTGACATACCTCCTCTCCTTTGGGAATGACAGTGAAGGTGCTGGTTAAAATGCAGAACTTGCCTTCCACACCTTGCCAAAAAAGTGTCCCTGAAGCCCCCACTTTGCCTGCCACTATCCTTCTGGGGAAACTTCTGCCTTCCCCAGTGCTCATGTGGGTCTGAGGTCTCCTCTCCTGGGCTTCAGGTTCAAGATCTGTGTGCAACCTCTCTATCCCACTATTTCCACCAAGCCAATTTGCACACCATCCTTACCCAATGCCCAAAGCCACACTCATGTCCTCCTCTGTACCCTGGCCTCTGCTGCTCCCTCCGCTCTTCTAGAAGTAATCCATCCATTATCCATCCATCCCTCCATCATTCATCTATTCATCCATCCACCATTCATCCATCCATCCATCCATCCATCCTCAATCCATCATCCATCTATCCATCATTCATCTATTCATCCATCCACCATTCATCCATCCATCCATCCATCCTCAATCCATCATCCATCTATCCATCATTCATCTATCCATCCATCCATCATTCATCTATCATTTATCCATCCTTTAATCATCCATCCATCCACCATCATCCATCCATCATTTATCTATCTATCCACCCATCCATCCATCCATCCATCCATCATCCATCATCTATCTATCCATCATGATCCATCCACCCATTCATGCAACCACCAGTATTGAGGGCCTACTTGGTGCCAGGCCCTACACTCATGCATAAGGTCCAGTCCAGCCTTCAGGGAGCCACACTGGAGTAAGAAGATAGATAAACAATTAGGAAATTGTATCATAAAATCATAA